AAATAATAATAGTTTATGATAAAAACGAATATAATAATAATTTAGGGTAAAATGTAATATAATAATAATTTAGGGTTAATAATAATATAATAATAATTCACGGTCCAAAGCAATGTAATAATAATTTATGGTAAATAATAATATAATAATATTGACATGTGGCGCAATCGTCGGACGCCACCTATTGAAAACAATGACAACTCTCCTTTCTGAAACTGCCACGTGTAATTCTCTATAATTTAATATTATTTTTTTTAGATTTAACTTCTAAAATTCATAATAAATAAATTAAAAGTCTAAAAAATGCATCAGAAAATCCTATGAACTCCTTATGGCATTCTCTACGCCCTCAAGCTCTGAAAATATAACTTCCACTTATAAAAATATAAATTGATAACAAAAACTCAACTTTGTTTCTAAACAATCTAAAACACTAGTTGATGTTTCATAACATAACATTCAAGTTATTTGATCAAACGATTACCGTAAACTCCAATATGTTAAATCATGATTTTGGACCTCCATAATCAAGGATGATGTTGTGAAGAGTTTGTAGCAATTTTCGGTGTATTTTTATGATTTTTAATTTATTTATTATGCATTTTAGAAGTTAAATACTAGAAAAATAATATTAAAGGGTATAGACCAATCGCGGGACGCCACCTGTTGGAGGAAACCCTGACGGCGCCACTTTCAGCTGCTGCCACATGTCACTCAGTATGATTTAATATTATTTATCTTGAATTTAACTTCTAAAATTCATAATAAATTAATTAAAAATCCAAAAAATACCTCGAAAATTCCTAGAAACTCCTTGTGATATTCTCTACACCTTCAAGCTCTAAAAGTATAATTTTGGGTTATACAAATGTAAATTGATAATAAAAACTCAACTTTGTTTCTAAGCTATCTAAAACACTAGATGATGTTTTATAACCTAATATTCATGTTCTTTGATCCAATGATTATTATGAACTCAAATTTTAAAGATAAAGATAATGTCATAAGGAGTTTGTATTATTTTCCATATTATTTCATATTATGAACTCAAATTTTGAGTTATAGACGTCTCGTCCTATACTATTTCATATTATTTTTCATTAATTTAACTTCTAAAATTCATAATAAATTAATTTAAAATCTAAAAAATACATAAAAAAATTTATAGGAGCCCCTTATGATATTCTACACACCCTCAATCTCAAAAAGTATAATTTTTATATTATAAAAATATAAAATGATAATAAAAACTCAATTTTATTTCAAAACAATTTAAAATACTAGTTGATGTTCTATAACTTAACACTTATGTTCTTTGATCCAACAATTACCTTAAACTCAAATTTGTGAAATCATGATGTTGGACCTCCATAATTGAGGATGATGTCGCGAGGAGTTTGTATCAATTTTTGGTGTATTTTTCTGATTTTTAATTATTTTAAAATAATTTTTAAAGATAAACTTGAAAAAAGTAATCAATATGACACATGGTGCAATCGCGGAACGCCACCTGTTGGAAACATTGACGGCGCCACCTTCAGCGTTGCCACTTGTCGACCTATACCATTTAATAGTATTTTTCTTGGATTTAATTTCTAAAATTCATAATAAATTAATTCAAAATTCAAAAAATACACCGAAAATTCCTAGGAACTTCTTGTGACATTATCTACATCGTCAAGATCTAAAAGTATAATTTTTATTTATAAAAATGTAAAGTGATAATAAAAACTAAACTTTGTTTCTAAGCAATTGAAAACACTAATTGATGTCCTATAACATAATACTCTTGTTCTTTAATCCAACGATTACCTTAAACTCAAATATGTGAAATCATAATTTTACTTCTAAAATTCTTAATAAATTAATTAAAAATCTAAAAAATACACCGAAAATTCCTAAGAACTCCTTATGACATTCTCTGCACCCCGAAGCTCTAAAAGTATAATTTTTGCTTACAATTAAAAATATGAAAAATATACCCCAAAAAAGCTATGTGCTCCTTATGACAATGTCTCTGATATTAGAGTTCTAAAAATCATAATTCAACCTATTTGAATTCATGGTAATCATTGGATCGAAGAAACAAAAGTGTGATGTTATAAAACATTAAGTATGGTTTTGGTTTGTTTATAAACAAATTAATGTTATAAAACTTTAGTTTCTATTACTTTTTTGTTTACTTTAAAACATTCAAAAAATAAAAATAAAAATCAGAAGAAAAAAACTTGGCGCTATGCGAGAAGAACACCCATTCAGAAACCTTAACGATGTGCCAATCTCCAAAGCTACATGTTGTTCTCTTCAATTTATTATTAATTTTCTATGCTATAACTTCCAATATTCATAATAAATACATAGCAATCCATACAAACATTGAGTGAATTATTATTGGCCATTTACTGGCCCATTAGCGAACATGGTCTGGAATAAAGAATTACTTTTAGTTATACACAGGATAAAATTTTGGTGTATATTTCAAATTTTTAATTAAAAAATACTATGAATTTATAAACTAACGGAATGAAACATAATAAAGAGGTATTCATGGCTCGTTCACTTGAGTTTATTTTATCTTTAAAAAAACTCCATAAATGGTATTTATTTATAACACATTGACAAATACCGAGTATAGTTTTTAATTCTATATGAATTAACAGATCATTTATTAATTTAATAATGTATTTAGAAATTAGTAAAGAAAGCATCTTTCAAAAAAAAAAAGGGTAAAGAAAGCATCATTGTCGAAAGTGAAAGAAGCATATGTACACCCAAAAAAAAAAAAAAAAAAAAACCCAAGAAGCATTCAACACCCCAGCCCCTCCTAACCCTCTTATCTCCCAGACAGCCATACTTCCATTCCTCACCTGGCCACAACCACCCATCCCCAACTCAGTGCCCCAACCCTAATCTTATTAGTACACCCACCCCAAATTGAATCACATGATACTTCTGCTCTTACTTCTTATGCCTTCAGAGATCTTCCAGAGCAACTTGTATTGGCTCCATATGCATCTCTTGGAATATTACCTTGTCCCAAACCCAGAAAGAATGCTTTTTGAATTTCCATTTTAACAAAATAGAATTATGGGGGGAAATCAAAATAGAGAAAGTGGGTATGATGATTAATCTAAAATGTATCGTAAGTTATGAAATAGTACATGAATATTTCTTTGTAAAATTTGGTGAAAAATCAGAATTTTTAAATAAAAAATTAAAAGAAATATTAGAAAAAAAGGGGAGAAAATTCATCCATCCCCCATCCCCCTGCTCCTTTCTCCCTTCCCTGCCCCTCGATTCTAACCACCCTAGCCTGCTAGCCAACCCCTCCACCACGACCATCCCACCCCACACCCACCTAAAACCCAACCTAGATCAAATTCAATTTTGTGTATGTCAGTCCAGTAACAAGAAGAAGAAAAAAAAACCCATATATGGAACTTGAGTTTCGTGGATGTCAAAGAGAGAGAAAGAGAAGGGTTGGGTGGTGGGAGAAGAGGTAGAGGGAGGGTGCTGAATCATGGATGTGAGGTTGTTGGCTGTTGCATAGAGAGATAGGGAGATGAGAGATAAGAAGGAGAAGAATGGAGAAGGGTGAAACTGAAGCTCAATCGCGGGTTGTGATTTTTCTCATGGGTAATTTTAACCCGGTTGTAATAAAATTACAATTTTGAACTGAACCGTTCATTTTAATTGGACGGTTGTTAACATCCCGCAAATAAGCTCTGCATCTTAAGCTCCGCATTCTAGCAGCTCCCAGAAATTGGACCCCATCTTCTTAATTTGGGAAGGACACGTGTGCATAAGATGAAGGCTAGTGACATCTGTGGACACCCAAAAATCATCTGTGCACACCCTAGCCTCAGGGATAACCATCAATCAACATCATGCATTCTAAACCTTACATCGTCATAACCATCAATCAACAGACAATAATCCTTAAGTTTTTTAACCAATGCTTTTGAATTGTGTATGGAAATTCTAAAAAATTGAAAACAAGGGGCTTTCTACTGCCTTTGAATCAAAGCTTCTTAGCCATGATATCCGAATAATTTAGTATGCCACTTGACCTTGATGAATGTTGTTACCAGATTCGAATGGGTTTGCTGCCATGTGATAGAGTGGATTAAGGTGTATTCGGGATATTTTTGGTAATTAAATAAGATGTACTTAGTTAATTTTACATTTTAATTTAAATATTATGGTGTATTTAGATCATAAGGTGTACTCAGTTAATTTTAGGGTTCGCTTAGCAGCACTCTAAGTTTTAACGTATAAATTTGGAGGAATTACATTATGCTCAGTTTGGACGAAGGAATTAAAAATTACATAAAATTCTAAAATGATGGAATTTAGATTTCCATCATTTCAATTTCTGACAATTGAATATTTCAGTGTTAAATTTATGTATATTAAATTTTGTAAATAACAGAAATTGAAAATTTCAATATTTGGAATAGCTCATGTAAATTGTAAATGACATAAATTAAATATTTCAAAAGAAAAAAAAAACTGATAACCGACATATAAGATATTCCGCAAAGTAAAAAATAACATATACCTTCCTTGTAACGATTGATTGAATTGAAAATTAGGCCCATTTGGAATTTGACACAAACTATATTTAGCAATGTGTGATTTACCAATTTGGAAATCAATTTGCTCGCGGTTTCAATTGATCATTGAGATGGCTGGTGGTAAAAGGAGTCAAAAAGATCACTCCGTATACCTTCCTTGTGTTCATGGTGTAAGAACATCTTGCTTTTATTACTTTTTTGTAATATTTTAAATAAATAAAAATAAAGTTTGTGCAAATAGAATGGTGATCAAAGCAGTGACTGTTGTAAATGCAATGCACCAATACTTTCTCCTTTCACTGTTTCGATAGTCAAGATCGACGAAAGATGTTATTCTTCAGAAAACACTTCGCTTTACGCCTTTGAAAAAGACAGGCATGACGAACCATTTACTTCGGTTACGAGAGAAAATAAAATAAAAAGTGTATCGTCAAAACTGAAATTGTGGCTCTGGCTCATTTGAACTGTGTCTCTCTTACCTCCCTGTCTCTCCCGAACTCAGAGCCTTTCAATTTTGAAAACGTGTCCGCATTTAATTGGTCTCAGCAGCTCATACATCACCTAATCCATTATCACAGAGCTCCTCCTCCTCCTCTCCTTGGCAGCCATGGATGCAGCATCACTAGCAGCAGCTTCTGCTACAACAATGAAAGCCGTTAACTTTTTTTCAACTCCAATTACCCAAAGAATAGCTACCCACCCGACTACATTAACCTCTCCAATTCCTCACACTAAACCAAACGTACACGCTCTCTGTCTCCCAAACTCTAACCCTAGAAGCAGAGCCATTTCTCTGATAACTCGATGCTCCATAAAGCCAGACACGGACACGACTGACAACGAGAAAGAACAGAATTCGACCGTTGAACCCAATTTAAATTCAGAACCGACAAACCCATCAACGCCCTTTTCAAATGATGCACTCTCTTCTCCTATATCAACCTCATTTTCTTCTTCTAATACCAAAGGATTGGTGTTGGGTTTGGGCTTTGAAAATTCATGGGACAGTGCAGAAGTTGGGTCACCAGTTGTGAAGAGGTTCCTGGGTGACGAGGAAGAGAGATGGTACATGTGGTACTATGGGAAGTCCAGTTCAAATCCAAACCCAGGTTCGGATTCGATTGGATTAGCAGTTTCAAGCAATGGGGTTCATTGGGAACGAGGAGTTGGACAAGTTCAATCGAGCCAGGATGTGGGTGCGGTGATCAATTGCGGCAAAGATTGGTGGGCATTTGATACTCAGAGCATTAGGCCTTCTGAGGTAGTGGTCATGTCCAGTTCAAAGGTCAGAGCTTCCAGTGCTGTTTATTGGCTCTATTACACTGGCTACAGTGCTGAGGAGGCAGAGAATATTTCTAATCATTCTCAAGAAATCAATTTGGAGAACCCAGAAAGGTTCCTTCTTGATGGTTTGATCAGTGATAAAAATGGTGGGATTGGGAAGATTTTCAAGTCTTTGCCTGGTTTGGCAATTAGTCAAGACGGGAGGCATTGGGCTAGAATTGAAGGGGAGCATCACAGTGGGGCTCTGTTTGATGTGGGGTTGCAAGGAGAGTGGGATTCTTCATTCATTGCTGCACCTCATGTTGTTTTCCATGAAAGTGGTGATCTTAGAATGTATTACCATTCATTTGATTTGGAGATGGGAAATTACTCAATTGGGATGGCAAGATCAAGGGATGGGATTAAGTGGGTGAAATTGGGGAAAATAATAGGGGGAGGAAGAAGTGGTTACTTTGATGAGTTGGGAGCAATGAATCCATGTGTAGTGAGGAACAGGAAAGATGGGGAGTATTTGATGGCATATGAAGGTGTTGGTGGTGATGGTGGGAGGAGCATCGGTTTGGCTGTGTCCCCAGATGGGTTGAAGGATTGGACAAGGTTGAAGGATGATGAGGTGGTTTTGAAGGCCTCTGAGGATTGTGGATGGGATAACAAAGGGGTTGGATCTCCGTGTTTGGTTCAGATGGATGGGGAGGAAGATGAGTGGAGGTTGTATTATAGAGGTGTTGGGATTGAGGGAAGGACTGGGATTGGAATGGCAGTTTCAGAAGGGAGTGATGTTACAAGGTTTAGGAGATGCGCAGGATTTCATTTGTAATATATATGTTCATTGCCATATTTGTGTTACTATCAACGTGGGATCAGATGGAATCAATTGTTTGCTGATTTGGGTGTGTGTTCAAATATGAATTAACATGTACACGAATTCTCAACGGAGGACTTTCATATCAAAGATCAATAATGTATCGATAACAGGTTTATATGTTCTGTCATTGACATGTTATTGATAATTTTATCAACACTACATTGATAATCCGTCTCTAACTGCAAAATTCACACATTTTGAAGAATAACTGATTCTTCCATTACACGAAAACCAAATGCTATGAAGTTTTTTAGAATTTCATTATTGTTTGATCTGATCATGGTTCTACAAACGGGTTGATTTCTCCATTGGAGACTCAGATACAGAGGCCTGACTTTTGGATGGGCTTGAACTCAAGGCCCGAAAAGCAATTAATTAAAGTTGAGCTTGCTGGTCGAGAAACACTTGCATAAAATGAGAATAACATTATTTTGTTATTTTTGGCCAATCACGGTATACTATGCGTGATAACTTTTTCATAGGGCAGTCTATGAATGGTCGGGAATAACAAAACAGTGTTATTCCCTTTTCATACAAGTTTTTGTACTTTTGGTTATGAATAAGGCTTCATATCTCAAAACGATACACAAACAAAATTTTCTTAATAATAGTATAAATGTATGGGAGAGTGAACTGTACTTTTTATTGAGTTATATATATATATATATATATATATAAATTATATAAATAAACACATTATGAAATTTATCACGTTTTTCAGGTTACAGTTACGAGCATATGTTGAAAATAGTAACATGAAGAGCAGTAGCAATAAATTTAACGGCCAACTAATCTATCATGGCAATTTAATAGACATAATTGAATTTTTATTGGATCCGGATCCTCTGCTTTGATTTTTGTTTGATGGATGATGTGTCAATTTTTAAGTCCATTGATTAAATTTTAATGAAGTGGCGTATGGAGAACAAAAGTAAAGCAGATCATAGCAGAGAAAATGAGAGCAGAGGATCTGGATCCATTTTAATTGTAACCTTCGAACTACCATATTAATAACATCTAAATTACTTGTTACATTTTTTCTTTCGTTGATCAGATAACCTGTTATTTAAAACTAAAAAACAACTACTCTGCTCCTTATTACAACTTAATTAGTTGCTAACTAATCATTGACCATTGTTGCTACGACTGAGTCACATCTCCTAACTCTAGACTTTCAAAAATCAAAACACAGGCGACCCAGACGATGAAGCGTTCACCAAATTGAGTATACTGTCCCAGTAGCTCCTGTTCTCCTCAAAGTTGCTGCCGCCGTTATCAGAGATCTCTCCTGCCAGCGACGAGTTGTAAACCAAAACATCAGTGAAGTCCTCCATCATGATATTTGAAGCTTCAGCTGGCATTATCACATTCCCCACCTCCTCATCATTCCCTGACCTAAACGTACTCTCCTCCACAAACCATGCAGGTGTAGCAGCACAAGCATCCATACAACCATATGTAACATTAACATTGTCCTGCAATACCTCGGATGGAACCACAGGATTTTCGTTGAGCCCGTTAATGTTAAAGGCATTTTGCATTGGAGGATTAAGTGCGTTGATATGTGGGAAGTTCAAGGTGGATGTTGGAGACTCGAGGTCGTCCATGGACATCATAGAACCACCCGAAATAATTGTGCTGTTAACGTTTCTAATTGTGGGCTTTGTTGACCATGTTCCTTGCCATGCTCTGAGCACATCCAAACACGGCAGACCCGGCGGAGCTTTGTTGATGACGTGTCCTTGATGGGTTGCATCGGAGGAGCTGCTGATCAGGAGGTGGTTGGGGTTGGTGGTGGAGATGACCTGCAGCTTGGATTCTCTAACGAGCCTGGCTTCGGCTTCAAGGCGGGCGCTCTCCCACTGAGCCATGTGGCTTATGTTGGCAGCGTCCTTAGCGTGGCCGCTGCCAGAGCCGTGGTGGTGCCTCGGCTTGTGGGTCATGGGATCGATGCCCAGCTTGGTTAGTCTCTTCTTGAGATGTGTGTTCCAGTAGTTCTTAATCTCATTGTCCGTCCTCTTGGGCAAATGAGTTGCTATAGCCGACCACCTAACATTAGTAAATAAATTGAGTTATTAGGAGACATATTTGCCATTTTTGTTTAGAGAAAAAAAAAATTTAAAGTTTTGTTAATTACCTGTTTCCGATAAGAGCATGGAGCTGAATGATACTCTGTTCTTCTTGCAAACTAAATTTCCCTCTTTTGATGTCGGGCCTCAGGTAATTGGTCCACCTCAGACGACAGCTCTTCCCACATCTTTGGAGCCCTATATATATATATCATGCATGCATGCACCCAAAACAAAGTTAAAAATGGATCGAATTATAAATGAAGGGGAAGGGGTTCTTAGTTGTGAGTTAAAATAATTACCTGCTTTTGGCGGCAAGGCACGCCAGCTTCCATGGCCATGGTGTTCGATGTAAGTCAAGAGCTTCTGGTCTTCCTCAGGAGTCCATGGTCCTTTTTTCAAACCCACCTTCTCACAGCATGGTGACCTCCCCATCTAGTTTAGTTTCAAGCCCTACCTGATCAGCACTCACACTCACACTCCCACAATTAGTATAGTTTGAGATTCTGGAATCCAGGAAAGCTGTTGGAACATCATAAAAGGTGAGGCCAATATATATATAGAGGACGTCGGACGATTGAATAAAGAATTAAATGTGTACCAGAAAGATTGCTTCTTCGTAACCAATATGCCCTTTTCACTACAAATGGACCTCCTGTCCATCCACAGGCTTAATGACCCCACAATGATTATCAACTTCCACAGAGAGGGAGGCACAAGTCCCAAGCTCCAACCTCGGTTTTTATCTTGTAGTAGCACTTGTCGGAGAAATGAGGGTCACAATTAACTGATAAACTTGCCACAAAACCTAGCTAATTAAATTTCTCAGACATTTGTGACCGCGATGGATGTACGAAATTTCCAAAACTCTAATTATCGAAAAATTCACTCTCTAAATACAAAGACTCGAAATTCATGTTGTGATGGCGTGTGCACATGTACAAAATATGTCGATTTCATAATTGAATCGAATTATCTCATAATAACCTCTGCATACTATTTCAGAATTGAATGAATGGCGTTGAAGTGGTTAAAAAGTGGTTAAAAAGCTTCTCAGGGCCATAAAATTACCAGCCAGAATTATAAATATGGACCCCATGTGGTTATCAAAATACTTTCAGTGGATTGATGGCTGATCAAATGAATTTATTGACTTTTACCATATCCGTACATATGATTTTGCATATTGATTTTCACGTGCATGGAAATTTCTCTATAAATAATCAGTTTGGCTAGCTAGCTGCCTTGATTAAATATTTAGTTAATACATGATTTATGTCACACCCTTTGGCAGTTGAGAATTTGCTTTGGAAATATATAGTCCAATCGAGTATACCAAAGAAGCTCTCACCTCTCAATGGGTACCATATTCAATATGTCTCCACTGCAAACTTACTCAATATGTCCCCACTGCAATGTTCTTGTGGTCTCTGGGCATCCACATCACCCGCCCGCTTCGAACAACTGGGTTGACTGACTGGTGTGTTTCTTTGATTATGGAAGCAGTGCTTCAATACTTTTTCTGATGATGTAGCCACTGATTTTTTATCAAATCCTGATCTTGAGCACAAGTTCTGTGTCATCTTTTGAGTGTGGAGGCTAAAGATTTTTTAAGTTGAATATTAACCTGTCAACTATGTCATTTTTTGCGTCTAGCTAACACGTGAACACTTATTTAGCACTTCAACAAAGTCATCATACACAGGATAGCGATTGTCACACCCCTCTATAACCACTTGCAATCCTCCCTCTTATTTGTGTGCGTGCATTATTGATTGAGTAGTATATTGAAAAATGCGTGCATTATTGATTGAGTATAAACAAACAATGAATAAATTGAATGAATGTTGTTGATAAAGGGATACCAACTGGATGTTAATTCTAGTACCTGTCTGTACGCGTATGCTATAAAGTTTTAAGTTCGTTGTTTTGGAAATACATTCACATTTGTGTTTGGCATTAATTTTCATGTTTGTGGGGTCGATGTGAATCTGTATGATCATACACCAGCCGGAGAATAGGGACCCAGATCCTTGTGTTACTGGAAATATATATATATATATATAATATACAGAAATTCTTTTATTCTTGTGTTACATAAAATATATATGTAATATATAGAAATTCTCCTATGCAAATGTTCGGACGGACGTTATTATCATACGTACGCCATGTATTTTCTACTACCCCTCCCTGTTTTTCTCCCTGTTTACAATGGCATCAACAAGATAATAACATGCAGACATTCGAATGAGAGAATAACTGTATAAATACATATACAGTCCCCTTTTATTGAGGGACACCTTTTAGGGTTCCCTAGAATTTTTTCTCAACGATCCAAACCATCTATTTTTTAAGTCTACATTCATAGATCATCCTTGCAAAAAATTAGACAAATCAGAAACCGTTTTCGACATCCAATTTGTATCCTACAAAATCAATAAATACGGTACTTCAAGAAAGTGCTAAAATTTCAATTACTCAATTGAGTGATCAAATGATATCAGATTCAAGTGATGTTTTGTAAAAATGGTCTAATGATTATAAAAAAAATAGACAGTTTGGATTAGTGAAATACAATGTAGAATGGACCCTACACCCTCAATGGAATATAATGTGGAGTGGACTGTTTACAATAGCATCTGCACGATAATAACGTGCAGACATCCAAATAAGAGAATAACTTAAATGCATAAATATATATTGTATTTCACTAAGCTTATTTGAGGGACACCTTTGTAGGGCATACTTCGCATTGTATTTCACTAATTCAAACTGTCTATTTTGTAGACATTCATTCAAAGATCATCTCTATAAAAAATCACTTGAAGTCGATATCATTTGACTACTCAATTAAATTATTAAAATTTTAGTACTTTTTTGAAGCACCGTGATCATTGATTTTGGACACAATTAGATGTCTAAACGGTTTCCGATTTGTCTAAATTT